GTGCAGCTCCATTGTCTTGTTTCTTCTACTGCAACTACTTCAAAGTAGTAATTCTCAGCTTCTCCCCATAGTTGATGAAGTACTTGGACGCCATGACACACAAGTGTACATCATTGACGTCAAGAGACATGTGCAGCACGAGCTCCTCAGCGACGGTGACCTTGAGAGCTTTCACCGCTCCTTCCTACCAAACTCCACCCTCGATTCCGGCGAGCCGCGGTTGGTTTACTCTTACCGCCATGTTCTCAGCGGCTTCGCCGCCCGCCTCACTCCGGGAGAGTTGGAGGCCGTTAAGGCTAAACCCGGCTTTCTCCATGCGCAGCGTGATCGCCGCTACCAGTTTGCAACAACCTATACACCAAAGTAGGTATTTTGATAATAATTGAAAGTAAAATAGAGGACAATTATAATTTTTGCTTTCAATAACAAGTATAAATTTATGGGAAATATAAGCATCATATTCTTTTTTTAGATCAATTATGAAGATGATGTTTTGGCTTGAGCAGGAATTAGTTGTTTTTCACATGATTTAATATATTTTCTAGATATTAGAAGTGTGGTGAAATTTAATTCTCTTATGCATATAATACATGGGGATCTTCTATGATGGGATAAGGTCTTATCATTGGCATTATCGACACTGGCATAATGATTAGATCACATCCTTCATTCAAAGACACTAACATGCCACCACAACCACCTCCTGCAAATTGGAAGGGTAGCTATTTAGATGCAGGTTTCCCATGCAACAATAAGATCATCGGAGCAAAAGCATTTTATCAAGGGGCTAACCCTCCCGTTGAAGACATAAGCGGGCATGGAACTCATGTGGCAAGCATTGCAGCTGGCAATTTTGTCAAGGATGCAAATGTTCTCGGAATGGCAAAGGGTGACCCAGCATCTGGCATGGCATCCATGGCTTATCTCTCCATTTACCAAGTTTGCTTCGTTAATGAAGGGTGTGATATGACTAACATATACGCTGGCATCGATCAAGCGATAGTAGATGAGGTGGACATCCTCTCGATGTCTATTAGTGGTGATCCTACTGATAAGCTTTATGAGGTTCCAATTTCTAGGGGTTCTATGGCTGCCATACAATATGGAATCATTCCTGTCGCTTCGGCAGGAAATGCTGGGCCTGATACTGGGCACTTAGTCATAGTGCGCCTTGGGTATTAACAGTTGGAGCATCGACCATTGATCGAAGAATATCATCCATTGTGGAGTTGGGAGATAATAGAATGTTCTCTGGAGAGTCAGGGTATCAACCAACAAATTGGAACTCTAATGACAGGTGGCCGCTTGAATATCCTGGGAAGAATGGTGACGAAAATGCCGATTGATGTTTGCCTATTGAATTGGCTAACTGGAACTTAAGAGGTACTCATTAATGTTGCCATGAAATCAAAATTGTGATCCATCATATAATCTCTATTGTTGAATAAACACAGTATATATGTAGTGTTTGATAGTTAAATAATATATTATCTTAATTGTTAATA